TTTTTACATGTATCATTTTAAATGCTTGTGTTTGACTGAAAGTAAAAGCAGAAATTAGTCACAGGGATCAATAAAGTTCTGTCTAATCTAATCTAATTTAGAATTGACATTTTGTTAATCCAGAGAGCTCATACCGATCACTGTTTCCTTGAATCTCCAGAAACGAGCTGAAAAGTAAAAAAAAAAAAAAAAAAAGCATGACAAAAATAGCCACATTAATGTGAAAGATGCAAGGTAGAAATGAACCAGAATACTCTTCTGTTGTTTTGGCAAGATGGTGCCAATCATCAAGGAATTACTGTCTAATGCTGTTGTGTTTGTTTAGTTGTATTGCACAAATTGACCATTTATGTGTCGAATCCAACACCATTAAACCACACAGTGGTAATGGTCGCCCATTACATAATGATTTCAGCCTGAGGGGTGATTGGCTCAGTACAATCAAGTGGCAACAATGGAAATGCACAAATGATGTAAGGATATGACGAACAGTGTTTAGCTGATGCGAGATCCCACCAATGAATTAAGCAAATACTTACATGAAGAGGGAGTGATTTTTTTCTTTTTTGCTTATATGCTTTCAAAATCTAGTTTGCTTTTGCTGGTTTCAATCAATCAACAATCCTGCATGCTCTTACTTTGTGCTACAGCACTGGTGATGTTCAAATCAAAATCAAGAAATTTAAAACAATGCAATTAGAAAATTGCAATTGCTGCAATTTGTAATATACGTGATGCAGAGCATCTGACTGAGAGTTCATTGTGTTGTGTCAATTTATGCATTACGTCTTCTGTAGTAATGATGCTCATCAATCAGAAGTGACCCAAGGTGACTGCATATACACCCACTAGCAGCAAACGGATAAAACCCAAGAATATTTTATATTTGGCACACAAAAAGGTCTCCGCTGAGCCAGAACCATGCTGGAAATATTAGCCCTGAAGTAAAGCAGAGCTTCAGTATTATGTAAATATTTTAGGTTCAAGTTGACGGATGCGCAACAAAACTGAACTGAATTGAACGAAAGCTTTACTGTAAAAATAAATCAATAAATCTACGTATCACAAATGAAAATGCAATATATGTCAGAAAAATCACAAATGGATATTTTCACTGAATTGTTCAGCCCTCCTCTAAGGACCAGGAGCCAAAAAAAAAAAGAAATCTGGACATTTCTGTTTTTGACTGAACTCTTTACAAAGAGAGGAGTCTCTGGCCGCAGAGCCTGTGCCCATTAGGCCCCTTCAATAATCCGGCCATGGCCATTTTTTATGAGCCAACACCGCCAACTGACTACTTTATCTCTCATGTGGAGAAAATGCTGTGAGAGCTTTGCACTGAGGATCCTTGCTCTACATTAGTAGTAGATTTTTGAGTAGGGTTTTTGCACTTTCTTAAGTCACCAAGTCTACAAAGCCAGCAAAACAAGTTACTTTGATAAACAGAGATAGAAATAAATAAAGGGCAATTAATTATGCAGTGTGTTTCAAAACCTTTTGAATGCAGTCCCCAGCAGTTGGCATGGGGTGATGACTTTAAAGATAATGCTGTGTCTTCAGAAGAAACTCTGTAGTTGGCAAAAAAAAATGTAATCAGTGTGTTTTCAGCCTGTTTCGACCAGACTGCTGCTTCTGCTGTCGTGAGGTCTGAAGCTAATGGAATTTTTCATGTGGCTGCTCCTGAAATGAACTGGATTGGCAAGCTCACTCAGATCGTTAGCCTAACCTGATAGGGTGACGCTGCTGACTCTGTGCTTGACTTTAACACACGGTCACAAAAGGCAGCAGGCAGGTGCGCTGGCATTTGTTTGCAGCGTTTGTTATACCTTCTCACACAGAAGTGTCGGCTGATGCATTTCTGAACACTGTCAGTCATGGTTTTCAGCTGTTTGTTCGCCCGTGAAGCTGGAATAGTTGTGGGCTATTACATATGTTTGACTGGAAATGCAGGAACACAAATACAAGCAGGCACATTTCTCTCGGTGTGGGCCTGCGCGCAAACAGTGCCAAGCACAGCGCCCTCATTATGCCTGGCGACTAGACGGGCGGCTCAAACTTGCTGCTGCAGAAACAAGTTGGAGGAGAGGAAAGGAATGTGAGAGAGAGAGAGAGATGGCGGGAGGAAGGGGAGAGAAAGAGACAGTGTTTTGCTTAGTCACATGACACGTGATGTCCACAAAGGGAGAGAAAGGGGGGGGATTATGAAGTGCACCGAGAGCTGAACTGGACAAAACAAAGAAATAAGTGGTTTATGAATTATGAATATGTTTGAGGCACAAAAACTCTCAGCCGGTTGCCATGAAAACCAGAGCGGGTAGAGAGAGTCCGTTACCTGTTGGAACGCAGTTTTCAGCCCAATTTAGAGTTCCTAATTAGCATACCAGAAAGAGTGACTAAAGTTTTGGCAAAACATAAGAGAAGAAATGAACCCTCTGGGGTCCCATCAGCAGGACTCCAGACTTACTTTTTCATTGGTAGCACTGGTGGTTCCAGTGTTTTAGAACCAGCACAGGATTTTTTAAAAGGAAAATCAGCTAGAATCCAGTTCATTATTATAACATGGCAACAGCAAAATGGATTTTTTCACATGTCGGGCAGGGAGAAGACTTTTTGAGCCAGAAAACAAATACTATTTTCAAACATAATAGGTAATGCCGTAGATACTCGTGCCAGTTGGAGAGGCACCAAATCAGGCTAATGATCATCCTGCACTCGCACAAATGCAACCACAAGAAATTTTAACTCACACACTGTCAAAAAAAGGTCCTATATGCAACATATTGTTCTCAGTCTGGAACCCTGATTAGTCATTTGTGATTGTACTCACTTGATATGTTCAATAATATCTTTGTGACTTAGAATATAATGTGACAAGTTACATTCACAACCTTCCTACAGTGCAGTTCTTATAATTCATCAGGGGCTTTATATTTCATCACAGAAACACTAATGAAATCAATAATTCAGTGTTTTATCTACTTGCTTATCTCACGCAGACTGTACAAACAACTCTTAACTGCTTTGCTAAATAAATAGCCCATGCTGTGCTATATAAAACAATATCTCATATTGTGCCTTATAGTGCCACATTTGTGCATATTTTTATATATCAAGAGAGATGCGGCCTCAGTAGTAGGAAAAAGGTTTAATCGGATTCCCAGATAGTAAATGTGTGTATTTGTGTGTATGCATTTCACCCAAAGATGATGTTCTCTCAGTATTTTTAGCTACTACCGCTCACTGGTTGTTCTTTCTGCACGGTTAAGCAAAATTTCCAGGATCCACTGATTGAACTGTGCTTCTTGCTGAAAATAAATCCCTATGCACGCACAAACATGTGTAAAGGAGACAAAACCACTGTTTCTGTTCAGATAATTGTGCAGTGAAGAGAATGCAGCGGCAGTGAAGGGACAGTGTAGTATAACAGGGCTCGGCTGTATGAAGTCACTGTGCCATACAGTAAGCTGCATTGTGCTAATTTACGGAAGGATATAGAGGCTGGCCTTGTCTGGAGGAGAACTGTCTTCTGTTTCTGTTGCACTGGAAAAATATATGCAATTGAATGAGACCTATTTAAAAAAAAAAAAAAAAAAGTACTTTGACTACAGGCAAGGTCATTTTTTTTCTTGACTTTTTTTTTCTTGTTGTTTTTTGCATCTTAAATGCAGCAAGTAGTATTAGTAAAATTTCCTACTTCGGCATTTACAATACATCATTTATCAGCCAATCAATTGATCAAATCTGAGTTTTTATGAATCTCACTTTTTTCTACATAGTTTGTTAATCCCAAACAAACATTCGGGCCTTAAATTGTGTTTAAAAGATTGGCGCAACCTCCACCAGCAAAGGGCGACTGCTCCAGTTGCAATCGTTTAGAAGACTGTAAGTAATGAATGTTGGCTATATGTGTGAACTTAACCAGGTATTAGACAATATTGTGATGAGCAAATGTTTATGATGTTACTTAAGCTGCAATCAAAGAGGAACGTGATTGTGATGTGTGTGTGTCGTCTTGCCTGCTTTTAGGCCTCAAAGGTATGCATTTGGCATGATTTGTATGTTTTTGCCAGCTGATTGTTGCTGTTTTAGATCTCTGGAACATGATTGATGCTCTGTGACTCGGCAGTTTCAGTAGGGTAGCTTCCTACATATACATAGCTGTTATCGACAGTCCCTTTAATATACAAATATTTCAGCCTTTCTGCGCCGGGATAGATATCAGCGAGGTCAGGATCCGGAGCACTATGACCACCGGCGTTCAAACGCGAAGGGATCAAAGTGTCCTGTCATTCTTGTATTGTGTTACTTTTTTATTTACTCTGCCATTGTTTAACAGCACGAACACATCACCTCTGCTACTCTAGATATAGTACAGCCAGGAGTGTGTGTGTGTGTGTATTATTTGGAGTTTGATCAAGTAACATGTTTGAGAGTTACAATGGGACTGTTTACCCACTAAAGCATACAATTTTTCAGCTTTTCCACTAATAGCGTGCGGCTGTGTTTGTTTGCCCTCACAGCTTCCTGTTGAGGTGAACCAACAGCATTTTTTTCACACTGAAGTGCTGCATAAATAATTAATTTCTTTGTTGATAAATCAATAAGGTTTTTGAGCCATATAATATAAGATGATGGTGAAAAATGTTGATCAAATGTTTTATCTTGTCCACAACTCAGAGATATGCACTTTACTGTCACAGAGGAGGAAAGAAACCTGAAAATATTCAAATTTAGGCAGCTGGAAATTAATTATGCAATTAATAGTTTGGGGTTTTCATTTCATTAACCACCATGGCTACTCTACAGTTTAGATAAGCATGCCATTTTTTAAAAATTGTGACAAATCTCTAGTTTATGTGAATTAGTTTCCTGTTATTAATGGTGTGTATAAATGAGTATGGAGGTTGGAAATGACCAGTCTGTAGTCTGAACTGTGACTCTGCTGTATTGTGAGTGTGTGTCTCTTCCCCTGTGTCATTATCCTGCTGTTGTGTCTTCAGATATCTGTCTGCCTCAGCCACTTTGGATGACATTACCCGCTCTGAAGCGTGAGTTGACCCCTTTCTCTTTTGTGTTCTTGTTTTGTTTTTTGTAGATGAGCTAAGGTTTCTTTACGTTTGCTTTTCTTTTTGGGGGAGTTTTTGCGCTTGTTTTGTTCTTACTGCCCCTGGGTTTTCTTCTGTTTTTCATTTGCTTCTGTGATGGTGAGGGTGTTGCAGTTCGTTTGGATTTTTTCTTTCCTTTTTTTTTTCTTTTTTCTTTTTTTTTTTTTCCACTTGTGTTAGAGGCTGAATTCAGGAGGGATTTTGCACTTTGTCTTAGGGGTCACAGACTTTATGCATCTAATTATTTCAGTTTTTAAAGTAAATTTAGCCATTTTTAACATTTAAAGAATATCAGTCAAAATCATTATCCTTAGGGCAAATTATTTTTCTGACTTCATTGTATGCCTTTCAAGAGAAGCAATGTGGAGATGGCTGACAAATTAATTACAAATTATACAAGGAAAGTTAAACAATCAGTCACAAGCTATATTATATGTTATAAACTATTAGCAACCTTTTAAATTTTTAATTACCATTTTAGTCTTTGTTTTCTAGAAGAAAGTTGTTTGAACAAATGGAAAATTCATTCATTTCTAAAATTTTATTGGCAATACAAGTCAAAAACTAAAATATTTTTTAGTTTACTGCAGCATTTAAAATCATATGCAGCAGAAAATAATATAATGATATAAATACAATAGGATAAAAACAAAAAACATTTAGTTTACAGCCATATTTTGCTCAGTTTGCAAGTCAGTCTTTCTTAATTTTTATATCTTCCACTAAAGTTTACTTACCAGCTGTCAGAAAATGTCACAGACAGACTGTAGGCTTCTCTTATTGTTTAATGTAAGCCCTGTTAGGACCAAGTACTTTCAAGCATCTGTTTGTTTGACCTGTTGGGAATCAGATGGGTGGATTTGGTGCAGACATTTACCTGGTGACCAGCCACAGGAATGCCACATTCTAACACTGTGACAGTTTTGCCATTTGTTTTTTTTTTTTATGCTGTACTCACTGCTTCAGGACTAACATGTCAAAAACGTTGTATTTGCTGCAAGCTTTTGTTGCTTTGGTCTTATGTTATACCATTTTTTTCCATAGTTGTTTTTTTGAGTTGAGTTACAATCTTGATTCAGCTCTTCTCTGGTTTATCTGGTCTGATTATTTTAATAAAGACATCCCTGCAGGGCTCCAGACTCACTTTTCCACTGGTAGCGCTGATGCTAGTGTCAAACATTTTTAGAACACCAAGACAAAATTTAGGAGAACCATTTAAATGATCATGCAAAGCAACATTAAGATTTTTTTCATGTTGTCTTTGTTAGTGATAATGTTTTGGTAATAAAAGCAATGTACAGTTTTTGTTTTGAAGTAAAATGCTACGAAGTGAAGCAGTGTTTTAGGAGAAAAAAAATTGTTCAGGTAAAGAAACTGCAGTTTACTGAGTGCATTTATCGCTGCATAGTGAGTTTATGCTTCTTGCTGCTGTTGTGCTTTGCGAGCATTCCCTATTTGAGGCTCGCGGTTGTGTCGGCAAACTTGTTTTCTTAGCAAATGTTGGGCTACACTGAGAGATGTGCACACAATATATGACTGTCTTTCATTGCAGTATCTCAGCCGCAAAAAAAAAAAAAAGGATATAAAGTTCTCATTTGGTCCTTCGTTGTAATCAAAGGACCAAATGAGAACGTTTTTACAGACTGGACACATATAGAATAACATCCCACACAGAATTGTCTGCATCTAGCATAGTTATGAGAACGTCAGCTCTCCACTCTCAAAGTCAGTGTTGTACTTTCCACATCTACTGGGGTCCGCATGTCTGTCCAAGTTCAAGAGAGTTCATGCCAAGCCCTTTTTGGACCTCTGTGTGTTGCCCAATTTTTTTTTTTTATCTGCACAGCAACTACACTGCAAGGGCAGTAGTGCATTTAAAAGAAATGCATAGATGCAGACATGTATGGATTACATTCTCCAAGTAACAAAACTTGAGAAAATTGTGTAGTAGCAGAAACTACACTCCATTGTGTCTACAGCTGTCCATTTGCGCACCAAAAAGGGAGTACAGTCAAAGCTTAATCGCCCTCTATCTCACTCACACACTCTATTCTTACTTCCTCCTAGTGTCGCAATGATATGCGGAAAAAACAAAAACATAGGACATATTTGCAAGTCGCACTGGTGCATTTCGTTATACAATCAATCAGCACAATTTTCAAAAATAATTGCTGTCTGGAGCCCTGCCTAGAATCCAATAATGCTGCATTTCAAAACAATAACTGGATACTTTGTCTTAAAAAGTGATCTGTAATGCACAAGTAAAAGTGAGGGTCCATAAATGAGTGAAAACAAATCAATGCCTGTGAAGGTCTAGCTGTTGGCATGTATCTTTTGATGGATGATTCACGGTTTTAATGTTTGGATCTTTCAATTTTTACAGTATAAACTTGTGCAACTGTGAGAAGTTTATAGCAGCGGCAGAGCTCAGCTGTGTTGATGGACACGGTTGTGTACGTTGGTAGTCAGCCACAGCAACTTATCTCCAAAATTGTATTCGATCAGCCTCTGTAAACCGTCTGCTGCTGTGTGATTCAGATGGTCATAATGTTGGCTTCTACCCATGACGTGTCTGATTTGTGTGCATACAAGCAGCTAGAGAAGTTGTGTTTCTTTCTGCTGGGTGATTATGTACAAAGTTCTTTATGTGTTTATGCATTTGTGCACATACTCGGAGGTGTACTGTGACGTGACAGGATATTTTGAGCTTATTTACTCCAGGCACTCTGGTGAATTCCTGTTTACAAGCCAACTTCCCAGCCTTTCTTAACCCTCAGAACTCCAAGCAGTTACTGGGCTTTTTTGGGGGGCCTTTTTTTGGCCTTTTTTCTGGACATTTTTACTCAATGCAGTCAAATTTTTCATGGCAATATAAGGTGTTCCATCTCTGCAGAGATGGCACAACAATGGCTAGAAGTAGAGACAAACTAAAAAAAATAAAATGCCATTGATAATAAAATAGATGCCTTTCAAATTTGCTGGTGGGTTTTGGGGTTCGGAGGGTTAAAGGAACAAATCAACATTTTGTGTCTTTTTTTTGTGTTTAGATTAGAAGATAGACACCACTCTGTGCAGTCACTATGGAGGTGGGCTTGGGAGGCAGTTAGCCTTGCTTTGCAAAAAGACTGGAGAGAGCCAGGCTAGCTGTTTCCCCGGTTTTTCTTGGTGTAGTATTGAACTTGTAGTATACGTCTTTTTGAAAAAATTATAATCTCTTGAATATTTCCAGCCTGAAAACAGCATTTTTTTTCCTGGTTCTGGATGAGCCTTTGGATTATGACTGTGCATTGGTGTTACCTGACAGAAATCTAGACATTTTCTTGTTATATCTGATCATTTGATAAACAAAAGTTGCGATTTTGCTTTTGGCGCTGGTGATTTTCCTTTGGTGCTGCCTAAAGCCTCTTTAAAGGCGAGTAAAAATACCTCTATGCAGGAAAGTCTCTGGTTTTTAAGTATGAAATGCTTGGGTGTACTGCTTGCAGTAAGAAGTATCTATACCAGACAACAGTAAACATGAAACTTATCAGGCTGCAGACACCAGGAATGTACTGACGCTTGAATGAAAACAAGCAACACAACTTATTTCCTGTCTTGATCTTTACTGTTCAGGAGAAAACTATTAGTCAATTTTACATGCTCAGACTGGGCACTGAAAAACATGAATGTAGTTGTCTGCAACGCGCATGCTAACTTCATCTTGAGACCTCTACATTTGAGGTCTAAATACTGACATGGTGAGTTTCCTGAGTTTTATCTTAAGAAGTATTTGGCTGCAGCCCACCACACCCAGTCTGGTACACAAAGCAGCTGCTGCATTAGTCAGACTGCTCTTGTGAAACAGTAAATTCACTCTTTGGAGTTGCTTTATTTAGTTTGTTTATGGCTCAAGGTAAGGTAGATTATTATATTTTAGACACATTGCTGTTTCATTCACTCAGAAAGTGTCCCTGGCCTGTTATCGAAGACAAGTCTCTATAATTTGCATGAATGTAAGACTCGGTTTATCAGATGTTGGTCAGGTGATATATTTTCAAAAGTACTGTTTGGAGCCATTTATTTAAACGTTATTACTTCTGGAAGGAGATAACATTGTTGCTCTCATAAAGGTTTCAGTATTCTTCATATCAAGTGTTTCTTGGGCCTGATAACAGTGTTTGCATCCCACAAACCTGTCTGACATCAAACTTAGGTGAATGTGTTCAACAGTTTCCTTTCTGACACCAACAGTACCGCCTGCCTCATACAGTGTCTGTCCAGCTGACAACACCATGCATGTCTTTCAGGAAAGACTTAAAGTGTATGCTGTGGTTCCCCTTTAAATAGTTATTGCCACTTGTCCTCTTCTTTGACAACAGGCGTACTGCTGTTAGACATGCTTGGCTCACATGATAGCTGTAGTCAACCAAAGAAAATCGCAGTGAACTGAAATCACGCGTGTGCTCTACCTGCTCATCTTGTTAGCCTAAATGAATTCAACATCACTGTATAAAGTTAGTATTTGCAGCATATTAAATACTTTGCAACAAGAGAGTCAGAGCAAGCCAGCAGCATTTTTACCAGTTTTTTTTTTTAATCATTATTATGGAATTATAACACAGACTAGGAGCAGACCACCACGCACTTGCCCATATTCATATGATTTCTCAAAATACAGCAAGATTGTTTTGTTTTTGTTTTTAAAAAAATCAATTGGTTGAGTAAGTACAATTTCAGTCAAGATTTTCTTTGGTTCACAACAGTCATTAAATAAACAGATAATCAGATCCTAAGCCCTGGGCTGAGGTTGTACATAGTATTATTGGCAGGTAAGATTCATCTTTGTGCTTCCGTACTTAAGGGTATTTTCAGTGGAAAGACCTGCTGACATTTCTTTGCTCATCTTCAACACTGTAGATTCTATTGCCATCAGACAATTAAATACATCATTTGAACAGGGAACCACGGGGCTAACGACTGCTTCTTTCAATACACCAGAGGCCTCAGTTCCTGTAATGTCCTAGCTGTGTTTCTGAGAGAATACTAACCATTGCAGTGGTGAATACTGTGCTTTAGCTGTGGAATGTAGCAGTAACTTAACAATGTTAGTTTTTGTATCTCTGTTCATTGCAGTCAAGTGATTTGGTCTAATATCGCTCTCTCTCTTTTTTTTTTTTTTTAACTCCCCTCACCCATTCATCTGCCTTGCTTTTCTTAACTCTGTACACTCATTTTGTTTATTTCTTTTGTGTTTTCATTCCTCTATCCATCCACCTCCGTCCTCTTTCCCCCTCCTGTCCTCATGTCTTTCTTTCTCTTCCACTTGTGTTTTTTTTTTTTTTGGCTGTCCCACATCTTTTCATTCCCCTCCAACCATCTGTCTTGCCCGCATTCCTTCTCTCCATTGTTCTTTCTCCATTCTCTGGCTCCCACCACTCTCCTTTCTCTTCATCCTTCCCGCCTCCCTCCTCTCATCACCCTCCTCTCTGCAGATACAAGAAGACTCAGGAGACTCTTTCCCAGGCAGGACAGAAGACGAGCGCAGCTCTCACCACAGTAGGCACGGCCATTACCAGGAGGCTGGGCGACATGAGGTACAGTGCAGTCGAGCCAAAATGGCTGACACGCTGTTCGGGCTACGAGAACAAATGAGCAGAGTGGACAGTGTTGAAACAAATTGGGATATCCATACGCATCCATATTCATTCTGAGACAACTGAGCACAGTTGCTGTGATAAAAGGTAGCCAAATCTGGTGACACACCTAGTGCCAACTTCACAAAGATAATTTGAATATGGCTCAGATCTAGCAAATAGTCAGACTTAAGTTAGATGTCTAAATTGAACTGTTGCACTAAGATGTTCAGGCCTTGAATATCTTAAATATGACTCATTTGCTATAAATTTGGGGTAAATAAAGATAATTTTCACACCAAAAAACATGGCTTACATAAGAACTTCATTACAGCTCCCTTCAGTCCAGCAGAAAAGGGATGAGTTAAAAATGAAAAGTGTGCAGCGATTTAAGGAGATCTTTAATCCTCTAAACCCGAAACAGTTTCTGGGTGTTATTTACTCCTGTCACACTTTTACTCACATTTTTCTCTGCAACATAAAGTCAGGACAACATGGAAGTAGAGGTAACTTGACAATTATAATGCCACAAATCATAGGAAAAGAAAAATGAACAGTTAAATTTCTTTGATTATGTAGCCATGTTTACTGTTTAGTCTACTCCTTAAATGCAGTAATATTAGAGTAGCTTGATGTGGTGAGGCAAAGAATTCTTTGCAGAAAAGACCTGAACAACCCCATTTCAGCTGAATATTTTTTTCTGTCCACTTCTCATTTCTTCTGTAGCACTGAGTTTGTCTCATTGTGCTGACCAGTGATCAGTTTCTTGCTCACTCTCCTACACTGCCTTTGCCAGTAGTGCTGTAAATAAACTAGTGAACTGACTCCATCAAACACATTTGTTTGTTTATTCCATCCTCTGACTAACTTAAGGGTTGGTTCAGCATACTTGAAGACATGTCCTCTCATCAAAGACATTGGGAAATGAAATGCTGCATTTTGAATTTCTCCCACTATAAATCAAAGTGATACCATTCGTACTTCATAGTTGTTTTGGAATTGTTGAACCATCCCTGTACTAAACTTTCCCACCCTGGAATCACACTTTGTGGCTTGTTGATTTCACTTCACGCTGCACTGACATAAAAGCAACTGACAGCAAGTCTTTCAGTTGAATTAGCAAAGTAATAATTCATTAAGTGTGGATTGTGGGGTGGTGTGCAACTATGGAAAGACAAACACTGAGTTAATACATCAGCTCCTCCGCCTCTAACTCTTCTCATCTCTGACGATGCCTTGTTGACTTACCAAACCGTCTGTTGTTGTGTTGATGTTTCTGTGTGTCCGCCCACATCAATATTGCTCTTCTTGCAAGGGTGTGCATGAGGAAGGGATACATAGCTGTCGGAGTGTGCTAACAAGTGTGTGTATGCTGTCCATTGGCTTCTCATATAGTAATTCATATTCAAGTCATGTAACAGTTGTTTTGATCTGGTCCATCCCTGCATGTTTTTCATCCATAGTGATTCCACCGTCGCTGCAAGTCATTCTGAGATATGATTTTACTTGTTGTTTCCGCATGTTCCTGTTTTGCTCTTAGACACTGTTTTAGTGTAGGCTGTGTTGCTCAAACTGTAACTGTGTGATAGTAAAAATGACAGTTAATGAAAAGAATAGAATTAGCCACATACTTGGTACGTATAGTTTCATGGAGGTGAAAAGAAGTGAATAAATTATAGTGGGGCTGTACATTTATGTGACTGTATTCAGACAAGATGCGATGTACTGGGGCAGTTTGTGTACTTTAAGCAAAAACTGTAGAGTCCTGGGATGATCTGGTTTGCCTAATTAAGGTGATGTTAAATGGCACCAATATATTTAGCGTAAGAGGGCTGTACTTGAAATAACTCTAAATGCTTAAGTGGTGATCAAAGCCTTTTACTTCCGTAAGAGAGACCACTGAAACAACTTAAATAGGAGACTGGTTTTAGCTGCTTAAAGAATGGTTCTGGGGTATTTCCCATTAATGTGACTACTGTTGCTCTATTTGGTAACAGAATTTAGCTGTGGACAATAGACATTAGCTTCCCGCAGCTTTCCAAAGTCTATTTTTCTTGTTTTTTTTTTTTTTTTTAGTTTTCAGTCTGACTAGAAGGAAACTTCCCAAAATTAGCTGCCTGGAACAGACATTTTTGCTAACAGAATTAGCTTTTACTGACTGTGTAGAGAGCTGAGCGTGCTGTCTGGCTGCTCTTGTCTTCCAGATGATGTTTGAGAGTGGAATTTCATCTCCAGGATTCATTCAGCATAATTTCCAAAGCCCTAGTTCCATCAGTACAACTACCATGAACGAACTCTGCACTTCATACAGAATTTTCACATTTAAACGTCCTTTAGCCTTCCTTAGAGCTGTGCTGTGCCATGTAACATGGTCTTTATTTATATTTATACCATGGTCTGGGTGAATACTCGATTCTGATTGGCTGCAGGGTGTCCATTAAAAAGTG